GTGAATGCACAGATATAGAGGACTAAAATTACATATGCAATCTTTGATACTAGACTGTAAAGTGAGAGGTAGAAAGCAATGGGAATCAAAATTAGAAAGATTATAGTAGGAGAGAGAGGGGAGTTTGTGCATCATGTTGAAGAGCTTGGAACATATCCTACAGAGATGTAAAATCATTGGTTAAGTGTTGAGTCGTTGGTTTAGGACATACTACTCTAAAACGCATCACCTGGCCATTTTGAGGAAACAGCAGAAGCAGAAAGATCACTGTGAGCTTCCTCATGCTCTTCTCCCATAAAAAAGTCATTAAACTCTCATTTGACAGGTACTATCTTGAATAACTAAAAAAAATTCTTATCTCTAAAGATACATCACTGCAGAACAAAAAGAGGACTTGCTCCTTCTACCCTAGTTTATTGCCATTATCAAGATGATGGATTTTCCCTAACTATGCTTTTCTATGATTATACCCTTATCCATCTGGCACAGAAACTACTTTTTACCAGACTTGCTGGGCTACTTTTCCTGACAATAGCTCCATGTTGTATTAAACTGATATTAAATGGACTTGTATGTGCCTTTTCTTAAATTGTCTTTTGTTATGAAAGACTAAGGCAGGAATCTTAGAAAGGAAAGAAGATATATTTTCCCTTACATGAACAATGAAATAAAGGGGGCAGTTCTATATAGGAAAGTGAAAAATGAATGTAGGGGCATGTAGCAGAAACCTGAGTGGGTAGTGGAAAATAAATTATTGTACTAATCAAATGTCAAGAGTTGTACAAATGCAGAGGAAGGTGAAGAAGTTAAGAATACAGAAGGGGCAATTTCATCAAGATGCATTGTATTTACAAACTCACATGTTGAATTGAAACCCCTTTGTACAACTACTTAAGGGTAATAAAATTTTAATAATAATAATAATAAATACTTAAGCAGTTTTAATCATCATGCATGGTCAAACTGGACATGTGTGGCAGACAACAGGAGTCCAAGATGATTCATTTCATTCTGGTTGTAGCAACTTAAAGAATGATAGTGCCACAATGGGAAAAAGAAACATGAGGTTAATAAAGGGGCATGACACTGAAATGATGAGCCTTGGATATGCTGTGAATTAAACAGGTGGAGATGTTCAGAAAGTAGATTCATGAGTCTGAACCTCAGGAAAAGAAAGTGTGCTGTGTTAGACTTCTGTGAGTCAACAATATCCAAATTATCAGAGTAGGTATTGTCCCTTGGAGATAGTGTAGGAGAAGCAGTGAGCCTATCTAGCATTATCTATTGTAGAGAATGTGGACCAGGGAACAATAAAAACCATCCAGAAGTGGTGTTTATGTGGGTCAGAGAGCCCTGTGTTGTGACATGACTGACAGAAAAGGGGACTTCATAAGAATGTCAGCATCAAGGCCATTAAATGGAAGAGAAATAATTGTAAGGTAAGGACGGACAAGCAATCATCAGGTTTAACAATGTTGTGGGCCCTAGTATCTCCTCCAAGAGTATTTTCAATAAGCACAGGGACAAATTGCTTTGATAAGTCAAATATAAGAAAATTTCATAAAGAGAATATTTATTTTGTACTCAAGAAGTTGACTAGAAAGAGGATTAAAATGGAAGTAACAGTGGGAGGATTTTTCTTCTCTGTACAGAAAGAACATCTTTGAGATGAAAAAACAAACAGTATATAACAGTGATCACATGTGGGCAGAGTCATAACCTATTAGCCTTTCCTTGGCTATTACTTTTAGAATAATAAAAAAAAAACTACCTTCTTACTTTTTCAAAACTAAGCTCCAACATGTACTTCAACATGGAAACTTCCAAAATTCTCCAAGAATAGTTATGCTCTCTTGAGTATATTCTACACATATAATATTAGTTCTTCTCTCCTACAAGAATACAGGCTCTTGGAAATGTATAGCAGGATTTCTATTCTCATTTACATTTCAGGTACAAACTATGGCTGTAATTTACTAAATTGATGAATTCACACTTGATCATCTCAAAGTCATCTTAAACTTATCTGGTCTAAAATAAAACGCTTAGACATTGTGAGTCAATGTATGTCTTCTCTCTTCAAGTTGTAAATATGACAGCCTTCCATATCTTCTGCATCCACTTTATCTCTATGTCTCATTCATTCTACACTAAAGCAAGACCTTAGATCTAAAGCACTGTGCAGAGATAGCAAGAACTCTTGTCTGTTGTAATGACAATTGTCCAGCATAATTCTCTGCTTCTGCCTTCCACCTGTCCCCAAATTTTTCTTACACCAATAAGAACCCAATTAAAAATATACTTTTAATTGTATTTCTCATGACTGCCAAAATCCATGCAATTATTCCTTATTGTACTCAGCAATGAAACACAAATCATGAACATGTTGTAGCTTAGGGATGATTTAGCCCCTGTTAGCCTTCTGATTTCTTTTGACACTACTCTCCCATCTGCTTTTCCACATGCACACCTACACATGAACTGTCAGGGCCAACAAGTCCATTCTCCCTATCATTTGCTAGCTGTGTCTATTTATTATATTTGAGCTAACTTTTCACTTCTGTTTTCACTAACTCCTGTTTTTTGCATGTCTGGCTGTATACACACATTGAACGTATATGTATATATATACATATAAGTATATATAATATTTAGTATTGTATATGTGTTATGTGTGCATCTTATGTAAAATATAGAATATACAGATATATATGTTTACATACATATCTATGGCTTTATCTCTATATATGTTTTTAGATGTATAGATTTATGTTTGTATAATTTTATATGTGTAACTTATACATCTACAAATTTTGTTATCTTTGGGAAATCAACATCCTCCCCTCAGATACCAAAAGATGAATGTATTTATTTATAAGGTGTTTAGCTACACAAGGTCAAGAACATGTAATATTTAAAATTCAGCAGTAATCCAGGTTGAAATAGAAAAACAAAACATAAAGAAAATGTTATCAGCAGTATTTACTACTCACCTCTCCCCAAATTAATCATCATTGTTTTTTCTTGCTGGCATTTTAATGTTGTGTATGTGTATATATTTACACATTTTAGCTCACCTATTCATTTCATAAAAAAATTTGATGCCCATGTATTTAGCACTGAGTCAAACTCTGAAGATATTAGGATGAATAAGACCATCAAAAAGCTTGTTGACTAATAGTAAAAATAGACCTCAGATTCTATCACAAGGTATTTTGATGCTGTACTTAATGACAATTTCTTAAGTAATAGAAAGTCTCCTGTATAAGTACCAATTCCTAAAAAAATTCTTAATGCAAGCAAGTCACAACTCTTTTCTTTTCTTTGAACAAGGCTTTTGAAGTAAGATAAGACAGCCACCACAGATAATCTCTCATCTTCTGAGGGTGGCATCTCACTGATGACCTGATAGTCATCTACCCTCTAAGAATTCTGTGCTAATATTCATCTTCATTCTGGAATTGCTAGCTGGGCTGACGTATCACGGGATCGGCTCTCTGCCCAGAGAATTCCTTCTAGCCTCACCTATTCCCCCTCATTCTCTTCTATCCATAAATACATGTTCTCTTACCATATTGCAATGTTTTTACTTTTTGTATTCTCAAGTAAGCTGTAAGCTGTTTTAAGATGAATACAGTATCTTAATTTATGTATGTTTATTTCATTAGTAGGCAAATGAGGAGTATGTTGTGATTGCACTGCAGGCAAGTTGGAATGAAGGTTAAAAGAAGTCATATTTTGCTTTTGTATTGTAAAAAGTTAGAACCGGCTATGTAGTATAGAGCCCACAACACAATGGAAAAAGATGAGTGTGGGCTGGAAAGGTAGCTCAGTAGTAGAGTGCTTGCCTTGCATGCATGAGGCCTTGTGTTGGATTCCTCAGCAGCACATAAACAGAAAAAGCCAGGAGTGATGCTGTAGCTCAAATGGTAGAGTACTAGCCTTGAGCTGAAGAGCTGAGGGATAGCGAGCGCCCAGGCCCAGAATTCAGGCCCCAATGACCCACAAAAAAAAAAAAAAAGACAAGTGTGCCATGTATCCAATATTACTTAAAAATTTATTAGTTGCCACCACGGCTCATGCCTGTAATTCTAGCTACTCAGGAGGCTGAAATGTGAGATTGTCATCTGAAGCCAGCTTGGGCAGGAAGTCTATGGGACATTTTTTCGGTCATGGGGCCTGAACTCTGGGCCTGGACGCTGTCCCTCAGCTCTTCAGCTCAAGGCTAGTGCTCTATCACTTGAGCCACAGCGCTACTTCCAGCTTTTTCTGCTTATGTGGTGCTGAGGAATTGAACCCAGGGCCTCATGCATGCAAGGCAAGTGTCCTACCACTGAGCCACCTTCCTAGTCCCTCTATGGGACTTTTATCTCTAATTGCCCATCAAAAGAGCTGGAAGTGGAGCTATGGCTCAAGTGGTAGAGCAATAGCTTTGAGGATAAAAGCTCAGAGGTAACACCCAGGCCTTGAGTTCAAGCCCCAGAAAAGATACACACACACACACACACACACACACACACACACACACACACACACACATTTATTAGTTGGAGATTTTGTTTCACTTAAGGAAGATCATTAAGAAAAGGAAAGAGTTTTAGTTTCTGCTGCCTTGCTGCTCTGGGATGTGTGTGGATATGTGTACATAGTGGGCAAAGTGTATATTTTTGCCTTTCCCTAGCTGGCACTTTCCCATCTACACTTCTGATCACATACTTCACTAAAGTCCTATTTAGGAACTTCTGGGCAGTTCATTCTAGGCTGAGAATGGCAAGTAGACAACCTAGAAGTTCTAATATAATTAGGATGGGAGTATAGGTAGCTCTTCCCCTAAGACCTGAAAATGAGCTCAGTCTTTCAAAAGACTTGGGTGCTCAATGAAAGTGTTTGTCCCATAGTGAGGATAAACCAAGATGAGAAATACTTGGATATGCCATTATCCAATATCTGTTCTTTCCAGTTCACTTTGGAGGAGTGTGCTAATCACATGACACTTGTACCTGTCAGATCATCCGTGGGCCAGGACCCCAGCTGGCAAGCTTTGCAGGTGTACTCATCAAAGACGTACTCGTTCTCCTTACAAGGAGTGCACGTCCAACAACAGCTGACTTCTCCCTTCCGGATCACCTAATGCAAATATTAAGGAGGTTAATCAACTTTTGCATATTTTTTGATTAATTATTTTTAGACAAAGACATCAAATCACTTATCCACATTTTGTGTGCTGCTTTGTAAAGCAGAAAGGGCTTTTCACTCAAATTTCTTTTTTTTTTTTTAATTGTGAAAATACTGTACAGAGGGGTTACAATTACATGGGCAAGATAATGAGTACATTTCTTATCAAGCATTGTAGCCTCCTCCTTTGTTTCCCCTTCCCATCCCTTTCCATCCTCCTCCCACCCACCCCCCAATCCTCTCCACCCCCCCACCCCCTACCTCCTGCACCTGTAAAGTTCGTTTTCGACATAACGACTTGTACATCTCATTGTTGCAAAGGGTCCACCTGTATCCCTATTTAAACGATTTGTTTTTTCCCTTCCCCTCCACAAATTATACCAACATCAAATACAGTGAAAGGAGGGTTATACTGTGGGGGAGGGACATACAAAGCAACAAAGAAATAATCTTATAAATTTGTTAGAAACAATCGCATGAAAGAAAAAAAACATTTGAATACATATTTTAGGGCTCATTTCCCTAACATCAACTTATCTGACCTTTTCTGCTTGACTCAGACATATACTGCATATATTGCAAATAAGGGAACCCATGGGACCTATGTTTCTTTGGGCCTGGCTTACTTCACTTAATATAATTTTTTTCCAACCCTTTCCATTTCCTAACAAATGGGGCAATGTCATTCTTTCTGATGGAGGCATAGAATTCCATTGTGAATATTTACCACATTTTCTTGATCCATTCATCTACTGAGGGGCATCTGGGTTGGTTCCATATCTTAGCTATAGTAAATAATGCTGCAATAAACATAGTTGTGCTGGTAGCTTTAGTGTGGTCTTGTTTGTGAACATTTGGGTAAATGCCCAAAATGCGATTGCTGGGTCATAGGGGAGCTCTATGTGGAGTCTTTTGAGGAGCCTCCATACTGCTTTCCAAAGTGGTTGAACAAGTTTACACTCCCACCAACAATACAGTAGGGTTCCCTTCTGTCCACATCCCCTCCAGCATCTGTTGTTATTGGAGTTCTTGATTTTAGCCATACTAACTGGAGTGAGGTGGTATCTCAATGTTGTTGTGATTTGCATTTCTTTTATGGCTAGGGAGGTTGAGCATCTCTTCATGTGTCTATCAGCCATCCTTCTTTCCTCTTCAGAGAAGTTTCTCTTTAAGTCTTTAGCCCACTTATTTATTGGGCAGTTGTTTCTTTGAAGATTTGTTGTTGGGGGATTTAATTTTTTGAGTTCCAGGTATATTTTAGGTATGAGACCCTTGTCCATTTTATGGCTAGTTTAATTCAAATTTCAAATGCTATTAGGCAAAATAAATACCAATATCCTTAATTTATAATTAAAGACACCGAAGATGAATGTAAACATAAGTGGTGATAAGTCCAAAATGATGAAGTTGGTGGGTGGCAAGATCAAGAACTAAATTGAACTGAGATGTGATGGCTCATACCTATAATCCTAGCTACTCTGGAGGCTGAGATCTGAGGATCAATATTCGAAGCCAGCCCAGGCAGAAAAGTTCATGAAACTCTTAGCTTGAATTAACCAGTAACATGTCAAAGACATCTGTAGCTCAAGTGTCAGAGTGTTTGCCTTAGATGAAAAAGCTCAGGAACAGTGCCAAAGCTCTGTGTGTGTGTGTGTGTGTGTGTGTGTGTGTTGGTTCATACACACACACACACATAGACCTAAATCATGTGAAACTTTATGGATAATTAGTTATGGATGTCTGTATTTTAGTAAGTACCTGTGTTTTTCCTCACATGTATATTTACATATTTTATATATAATATGTCTTTTCTTTCCCCAAATTAGACACTTTTGCGCTCTAGATTTACCTTAGTTTCTTTCCACTAGTGAATAATTTTATCTCTTTATGTTTAAAAAAGTCTATCCTTATTGATAAGAATTTTGTATTTGAAAAACAGAGCCAAAGGAAAAAGGGTGTGTGGGGATAATGTCTTTACTGCTTCAATAATTCAGCCCATTTTTTTTCTCTCCAATAGCTTTGCTTTGCTTGAAAAGAAGAGAGGCCAAGGTGCTTGAGATGACTGCACATGGCTTCATCTTCTTATTTTTTTTAGGCAGTAGAAAATAACCAAACAAACGCATCATTTGGAAGAGTTCTAGATGTTACTTTCTAGAAATGAATGTATACTTTTCCCCTCCATGAAGTGAAAACAGAATTCATTCAACAATCTTATAAATAAACATTATGATGATCTCATATTCCTCATCTTACATACTGTCTTCACTAATGAACTTTGATAAAGCACATGGTCTATGACCAGATATAATTGTAATTGGCACTGCTTGTATTTTCTTTTGGTCAAAATCCTTTCTTGACTCTCTGAATGATACCATGTGATGCTTCATTACTGAAAGTTACAATTTTAAATCATATTGAAGAAAATGTTGTTAAATGTACACTTAATAGAGTGAAAATTAGATCTTAAGAAAATAGAATTTTGGAATTAAAAATGTCTGAATGTGTTATTGCTAAATAACTAGTATTAATACTGTGAGAATAGGCAGTCATTTTCTCCATTAGTTAAGCTATTATTAGTAGAATGGGGGTAGAAAATAAATCGTCCAAAACAAAAAAAATCCAGTATTTTTAAGCTATTGGCTCAATTCTATTGATGTAAAAAATTAAAAACAAGGAACACCCATGTGGCAATTTACATTGCATAATCTGAAACATTTAACAAGCATTTAACAGGTATAAAATTCTCAGGTCATCATCTAGCAAGAATTAGGAAACTTTTCCTGAAAAGGTCCAAATAGTATACATTTAGGATTTGGATTATACAATTACGATCATCTATTAAATTGCTAGTATATAGCATGAAAAGTAGACCCAGATAATATGGTTTTTCAACTGAGCTATTTTGCGAAAACAGGCAGTGGGTCAGATTTAGACTCTGAGTCATAGTTTTAACTCTTGTTGCATCATGAAATGAGACACACAGAGATTTTCAACTATTTCATAATCTTTGATCCTTTTAGGAAGTATGAACAAACTTATTTTTATATTCTTTGGCTTTGTCTTTCTTTCCCCTACTCTTATGCTTTCCAGATTTTCAGAACAACCCTCTGAGGACTTTGCTACCAATACTAAAATAAGTCAACTTCTTTCTAGCATCTCAAATATGTTCTAGAATGACTAAAGATGATTCTGATTGAAATCAAGGCTCCAGGTAAATCTATTGCTTGAAAGTGTAACTATTGCTTGAAATTGTAACACAATAACTAACATCTTCCTCCTTTAAAATAATTTCAGCCAGGCACTGGTGTCTCATACCTGTAATCCTAGCTACTCAGGAGGCTGAGATTTGAGGATCCAGTTTTGAAGACAGCCTGACCAAAAAAGTCTACGGGATTCTTATCTCCAATAAACTGCTCAGAAAAAAACTGGAATTGGTGCTGGAGCGCTAGCCTTGAGCAAAAGAAGCTCAGTGACTGCATCTAGGTCCAGAGTTCAAGCTCCCAGGACTGGCAAAAATAAATAAATAATTAAAACAACACTATTTTCATCCTTTTCTTCTTTTTTAAAAATTGTATGGAAGCATGAATAAACTAGAATTGGCCTAAAACTAGATTTTTCTGTGTCCTCAAATTACTATCACTTACTTGCTTTTCACTTCACAATTCTTTTCTTTTTCTTTACACTGACCCAAAATATACAGTCTACATTTGAGCTTATTCAAATACATTGTCTGGGTTTTGGAAAATGTTGAATAATAAATATCCACCATTATAGTAGCAGAGCTTCACTGACCTAAAAAAACCTCTATTCCTCCTGTTTATTCTTCCTTCTTTCTAGCCCTAATGTTTTACTATCACCACTATTCTTACAGAATGTTCTATAGTTGGAATCATAAGTTATATAGCCTTTCCAGATTGGCTTCTTTTGGTTAATAATTTATGTTTAAGATTTCTCCATGACTGCTCACTAATGGCTCATTTTTTATTTTTAAAATTTGTATACATTTTACTTTATTATTTTAAGTAGTCATACAAATGGTTTCAGTTTCAGTTGAACAAATTAGTAGTTTATAAGTACAGTACTTACAGTGTGTGTGTGTGTGTGTGTGTGTGTGTGTGTGTGTGTGTGTGTGCTGGTACTGGCGCTTGAACTGTGTTTTTTTTTGCTCAAAGCTAGTACTCTTCCTCTTGACTAAAAATCCATTTCTATTTTTTTGGTTGTTAGAGATAAGAATCTTTATCGACTCTTTTTCTCAAGCTAGTTTCCTTGATCCTCACGTCTGCTTCCTGAGTAACTGGGATTAGAATTATAAGCCAAAAGTACCCTATTAAGTACAATATATCTTGATTAATGTCACCTCTTTTATCAGTATCCCTGATCTTTCCCAACTCTACTCAAGTCCTGAAGTTATGTCATTATATACTTCTTGATTGATTGTATTATGTATTCTGTTCCATATATGTAGATATAAATATCTACATATATATGTATAATATGTATTATATAAATAATATACATAATTTGTGTGTATATATATGTCTATATGTATTTGTTCATCTTCTAGATCAGTCATTACTTAGCTTACTATCTCAGAACCAACCTGTTACAAACTAACTCATCAGCCTTTCTCTGAAGTGATTCATTCTTAGTTGGGTGAAGCTGATCAAGATGCACTAAACTCATAAATTGTCATGCTGTGTTGATATCCTTTTGTACTAAAGATGATAAAAAGTAAATAAAAACTATAAGCAAAAGCAAGATCCTCATGTTTTCTTGGTGATCATTTAGAGACTAAAATTGGAAATTGCAGTAGATTGCCTTGGTTGTCTTTCGCTTCTCCAAGCCAATGTCTAATAAATGTCTTGCAATGATGTGTTTGATAGTTATTTGTGAAATTAATTAGAATTGATGTGCTTTCTGCCTTTAAATTATTCATTCCCCGGAAGCAATGTCTCTAAAGGCACTAAGAAGTAGAAAGGGTGAGTAGGCCCAAACAGGATTCTTCAACTGACACAATCAGTTCAGGTAAAATAATAAGATTACTGGGGACTATGTGCTGGACTTTCTAAAGAAATTTGTAAGGATGAGTTAAAAACATTTTCTGATATTACAACTTTGCAATACAAACAGTAAACTGGATATCAAATTTAAAAACAACCACTGTTAACATTGTTAAATCTACCACACAAAACTAAAGGAATTATGGCCTCTATTTTACCTTTATCTGGCCTTTCTCACATGGTTCACTGCATACAGATCTGATGATGTGATTCTTTTTGGACCATACTTCATCATCATCCATTTTTAATTCTCCATTGTCCCAACTTCCAACATTGATGTAATCAAAATAATCTTTTCCCATTTCCTTGAAATTCATTATTTCATACCTTAGAAACAAGAATATAATAATTATTTAACAAGAAATATTAATACTGATCTATGAAAAGGTAACACTTGTAATTAGCTAAAATATGTCAGATAAGTCTACTGTAATTTAAGTAATACTAGAATTTTCTGTGACAGCATATGCACTTAGACACTATCCGTTTCATTGTCTCTCCAAAGACCTAATTACCTTCCTTCTTTTCCTTTCCTTTCCTGTTCTTCCTTCCTTTCTTTCTTTCCTTTCTTTCTCTTACTTTCTTTCTTTGCCTTCTCTTTCTTGCTCCGTTTATGTCACTCTCTCTTTCTTTCCTTTTTTTTCATTTTATATTCAAGCTTACACTTGAAATATAAAGTAATCCCATGTGAGAAGATACCTTGACCTTTGTAAGATGAAAGACATTTTTGAAATAACTTCAAGAAGTTTAAACAAGGACTGCTGTCCTGTTTCTAAAAGAAGATAAGAAGGTTTTTATCTCCACTTAAATAGCATGATAAAAATTTCCTTTACTAACTGAGATAATTGGTAAATCTTTAATCTTATTATTAACATTAAAGAATGTGAGAGAAATTGTATAAAATTTGATTTAACCTTTTTAGTTAACCATTTATAAATGGCTAAATTCACTGTATAAAGACAAATTTAGAAGTGAAGGTTAAAAATAAATCTGAGGAGTCTTTAAAGCTCCTAATGCAGTGTAAAATGCTGGAAGGGAAGTTTATAGCTTTTTTTTTATTGTGAAAATACTGTACAGAGGGGTTACTATTACATGGTCAAGACAATGAGTACATTTCTTATCAAGCATTGTAGCATCCTCCTTTGTTTCCCCTTCCCATCCCATCTCCCTGTCCCCCCACCCAACCCTCCTCCCCCCCACCTACCAAAGTTGTAAAGTTCGTTTTCAACATAACGACTTGTACATCTCATTGAAGGGAAAAAACAAATAGTTTATAGCTTTTATAGGATATTATTCTTACTTTGATATGGGGACAAAAATATAAAGGGGGAACCCAAGTGCTAATTTACAAGCCTTTTCTTGTATGTGAGAACATTTCCAGAAATCTGAGGATACTGAGTAAGCAGTATCACAACAGCACCAGTGACTTACAGGTATGTAATGGGTAGGTATAGGGTATTTAAAAAGCTGTGCTTACTAGAAACCACTGGCTCCATTCTTGGGCCTATGAGTTAACTGATGACAGACTAAAAGCTAAGCATTCTAATATCCATTTTTTATCTGTGTTCTTTGCTTTGAGCTATTCTCTTCAGATATCACTTTGCAGCCACCCTGCAATCCAAGAAAGACCAGACATGAACAACAACCATCTACCTATCAGGCACCAGTGGTTGATAAATCTTTATTTAATTAATTAATTTATTTGTGATGGTCCCAAGGCTTGAACTCAAGGCTTGGGCACTGTCCCTGAGCTTTTTTATGCTTAAGGCTAGTGCCTGCCACTTGAGGCACAGCTCCACTTCTGGCCTTTGGTAGTTTATTGGAGATGAGTCTCACAGACTTTTCTGTCTGGCTTTGAACTGCCATCCTAAGATCTCAGCCTTCTTATTAGCTACAATTACAAGCATGAGCCACCAGCTGGTTGATAACTTTTAATGTAATAAGGCCCCAGCCTGCCAAGCTGTTTTGACACAGCTATCAGACCACCTATGATCACAGATCCCAATTATGACTGCGGCAGCTTAATAATTGTGTGTACTATCTCCTATTTTATTCAAACCTAAAGAAAATGTCTGCATGTGAAAGAGGATTAGAAATGCTTTCTCTTTATCTGCTGCTAACCCATTTCTTTATTTGGCATGTTGAGGTAAGTAGCTGGACCTAACTTTGGAAATGCATGAGTTTGGCTTAAAATCTGCTGTCACAGATATGAAATATCTTGCATAATTTTCTGTGCTTTTGGCTCAGGGCTTTCTTTTCTCTTTCTTTCAGTCATTTGTGTGTGTGTGTGTGTGTGTGTGTGTGTGTGTATGCACCAGAACTGAAGCTTGAGCTGAGGGCCTGTGCACTATCTTACGATTTTTGGTTAAAGCTTAGTGCTCCACCACTTGAGTCACAGCTCCACTTCTAGCTTTTGGTAATTAATAGAAGAGTCTTGTGGACATTCTTGCCCAGGCTGGCTTTGAACTGTGATCTTCAGATCTCATCTAAGATTACAGTCATGGGCCACCAGCACCTCAGGGCTTTCAGTAGCTGCATATAGGTTAAGGAATACCATCTCTGACTATCCATGTTCTACAGGTTGAGCTCTCTGAAAATGAATTTGGGTTCCAGTGATCTGATTGCAGTCCTGTAACCCATGCTTGGAACAGAAAGACAAAAGAACAGAGTTGGCATCAGTCTATTAAAACCACATTGTAAAATGGTGTCATTGTGTTTTATTCCCAGTTCCATTTTATAGGACAATGTCTTTCTTATAATGCTAATTCATCTTAGAATTTTGTTGCTTGTTCTGTAGCTAAGGATAATCCTGCAATGTTTTGTTTGCAGTTGGTGACAATTTTGGGTCAGTGTCTCAATTCCAATTCTCAATCAAAATTCATAAGAGACATAATTTCTAGACTGTCCCAGTTATCCCCTGGTGAGTGAGCGTGCCATGACTGAAATATTAGAACACAGAGCACTAAAACAAGAAGAACTTATGGATTATGTCACTGCCTACTTCCAATATGTAGGCCTGTAAGCCTTAGAAGACGAGCTTGTTGATTTGCCATTGACAAGAAATCTCAATGTCAGAAAGCTTCTTTCCTAGCAACTGATAATTTGAAGAGATAAGAGGGTTTCATTCTTCACACACAAAAATGAGCTCTCAGTTCCATTTCTACCAGTGTTTAACCTTGACAATGTCTAGTTGGAGCGTTTTCTTTTATAGATAATGGAGTTGAAGCTAAGTGAGGCTGATTGTTATAATCATGTTGCAGAGAACTGAAGTGGCAGAAACCAAGCTTTCCACAATCCACTTGGATTTCAAGTCTTTTGATCTCTCTTCTCCATTAGATTACCACAGTTCCACTTGAAACAGCTAATAGACCATTTTTTTTGTGGTGTTACCCCAGATCTCCTTGCAACAGCTACATGATCCTCCCAAATTTTAAGCTGTTTATTTCCATAACGTGGGCCCTTGGTTTTATGCATAAGAAATGGCAAAAGTAAAATAATTCAGTTTTTGAAAACAGTCATGAAAACTGTGTAGAAGGGTAAGTATCATGTTTGACAGAGAGATGATTTTAAGAAAAGTTGAATCTTAAATTTGGATTTGCCCATCAGTTGTAATAAGAGAAACAATGAATCTGTACTTCTGAATTGAACTTATTTTCTCATAATTATTGATTATCTATAGAACAAACCAAAGTGATATTATCAGTAAGATCTGTGGTTATGAACTAGTAACATTTTGTTAAAACTTTCAGTAGTAGGAAGGAGAAGAAGATGAAGAAGGTAAAGAAGACAAAGAAGATGAGGAAAGACAAAGAAGAGGAAAAATAAGAGGAAGAAGAAAGAGGAAGAAGAGAAGGAAGAGGACAAGGAGGACAATGATGACATAATGATTCTCTACAGCTGAGACCCAAAGATAGCCCAGGCAGTACAGTTCATATAGTAGAGACTGTTATCTCCAATTAACTACCAAAAACCTAGAAGTGGAGGTGTGGCACAAATCATGAGTGCTAGCTTTCTGTGGAATTAAGAGCAAGAGATCAAGGCTCTGAGTTCAAGCTTCATTATTGGCACTAACCAATAATAACATCAACAAATCCCAAAACCGAAATGTTTCAAAACTAGCCTTATTTCAGGAAAGAATTAAAATATTTAATGAAGCCAGGCACTGGTGACTCACACCTGTAATTCTAGCTATTCAGGAAGCTGAGATCTGAGGATTGTGTTTCGAAGTTAGACTGGGCAGAAGTCCATGAGACACATCTCCAATTAGCCACCAGAAAACTGGGGTGCTCTGGCTCAAAGTAGTAAAGTATGAGACTTGAGCAAAAGAGATCAAAGAAAGTGTCCAGGCCCCAAATTCAATCCCCATGACTGACAATGAATAAATAAATTAATTAATATTTGTGTGTGTATGTACACACATATATTTGTTGACTTCACATTAATGCATCACATAAATATGGAAAACTGCAGTTTTTACAAAAGAGTATATTCTTTTTTTTAGGAGGGGATGGATTTTATAGAGATCCCAGTTATAACACATCAGTGTTAGAAGCAACTATTAGAGCAGACTCTAATCGAATTAGAATTCTAGTTACAGGACAATGAATATATCTCCGACCTGGGTTCTTTCTCTCTTTCTTCTCTCCCCTTCAATGCTTTTTCCTCTTACTGTGCTGCTTTCCTCTGACACTTCCTCCTCCTACTTTGGGTCCTTGTGTAGGACCTGTTTTCTTACATCTCCCCTCTTTCCATTTGCTGTGATTGAATGCTGACACTTCCTTATGTGGCTATAATTTAGAACTTAAATATCCTAAGTTTTAAAATAAATTTTATATAAATTTTCAAAAACAAAATTGAACAAAACTCAAATAATATACCAATAAGAACAACTTCTGTTAAAAGAAATGCAAATCAAAACAACAATGAGATTCCACCTCACCCCAGATAGAATGGCTATAATCAAGAAATCTAATAAAACAGATGATGGAGACGATGTGATCAAAAGGGAACACTACTGCACTGTTGGTGGGAATGTAAACTTGTTCAACCGCTCTGGAAAGCAGTATGGAGGTTCCTCAAAAGACTCCACATAGAGCTCCCCTAAAGACCCAGCAATCCTACTTTTGGGTATTTACCCAAGTGACCACAAACAAGACCATATTAAAGCTACCAGCACAACTATGTTTATTGCAGCATTAGTTACCATAGATAAGATATGGAACCAACCCAGGTGTCCCATATTAGATGAATGATCAAGAAAATATGATATATATATATATATATCTGCATATATATGAATTCTATGCTTCCATCAGAAAGAATGACAC